GATATACGAAAGTAAGGAGTAGTAGGCCAGATAGGCGGTGTCTATTTGTTGTCTCTGCCTATGCACCGACGGATTGCAGCACGGATGCAATGAAGGATGAGTTTTACTACCAACTGAGCGATCTGTTGAAACAGGCGGGTCGGAGGGATATCGTAGTGCTAGCTGGGGACTTGAACGCACAGGTCGGGCGTCTAAGCTCAGAGGAGAGTCGTCTAGGTGGTCAGTGGGGACTACATGGTCGCAGGTCAGATAATGGGGACCGTCTTCTGCAGCTTTGCGCGGATCACAACCTATTTCTAGCCAGCACCAACTTCCGGCACAGCCATCGCCGTAGCGCTACCTGGCGTCCTCCCTCTGCGAAGCAAGCTTGGACTCAGATTGATCATATTGCGGTCAGTTTCCGGTGGCGAGGATGCATACAAGACTGTCGCTCCTTCTGGAGCACATGTCTGGACTCCGATCATGCGTTAGTGTGTGCCAAGTTCGTCTTGCGATTTGGTGGGGTTCGTAAAAACCGTCGTCTAAGCGTTGATGTGAGCAAACTAGTAGCACCTGCTACTTCTTTGAAATATCAGAACGAGTTGAAAACAATGCTTGCCAGCAACCCCCCAAGTAGTATAGATGAACACTGGCTTCATGTGCAAGGTGCCATGCAAAAGGCGAGTGTAGCCGCTTGCGGCTTGAAAGAATGCTCCGCTAACAACCACTGGGTTTCTGCGAGTTCCTTGCAACTCATGGATGAACGCCGGTCCATTCCGGCTGGCAGTGAATACAACAATCAGCGAAAGGCGCTCACGCGCAAGATCAGACAGTGTTTACGTAAGGACCGTGAAGCCTGGTGGTCAGAACGTGCGTATGAGATGGAGTCAGCTGCTGCATCTGGCAACAGTCGGAAGCTGTTCCAACTCATACGAGCCACCGGCAGCAAGAAACAAGGTGTCAGCGAGACGGTCTGTGAGGCAGATGGCACTCCAATTACCAGCCTGAAGAGACGCCTGGAACACTGGGCAGAGCACTTCGGGAAGCAGTTCAGCTGGCCACCAGCTTCATTGTCTACTATCATTAGCCCGAGTGCTCCTTGGTCGGTTAGTACCGACCCACCCACCGAAGCGGAGGTCCGTAAGGAACTCCAAGTTCTGAAACGCCATAAGGCGCCCGGCCCAGACAAATTACCCCCGACTCTTTTTAAAGATGGTGGCGAGACTCTCATAATGGCTCTAACTGGGTTGTTCAGGAGGGTGTGGGAGACAGAGAGCGTACCATCAATGTGGAACGAAGCCATTATCGTCCCCATCTTTAAAAAGGGTCGACGTAATTCGTGTGACAACCATAGGGGTATCAGTCTGTTACCAGTTGCGTCTAAAATATTGGCTGCTGTCATGCTTCGCAGACTGTGCAAAATACATGAAGGATTGATTCGCGAAGAGCAGGCTGGGTTTCGTTCAGGTCGTGGATGCATTGATCATGTGTTCACCCTTCGTCAGTTGTTGGAACACCGCCACACGTATTGCAGGCCAACGATCGTTGTGTTTCTTGATATTAGGGCTGCCTTCGATTCGTTGGACAGAACTGTGCTCTGGAACTGTCTGTTAGAGAGAGGTGTACCTGAGAAATTTGTTAACATCTTGAAAGCCCTATACAAAAACACCTCAGGTAGAGTGAGGGCATACAACCAACTATCACCACTGTTCCCAACCAACAGTGGGGTTAGACAGGGTTGCCCAATCTCACCATTTCTCTTTAACTTTGCCATCGATGACATTCTGGAGTCAGCTCTGAAGGATGTGCGTGAAGGTGGTGTAGATCTGCTACCTGGAGATAGACTTTTCGACCTTGAGTATGCAGACGATATCGTCTTACTGTGCGATAGCATGCAGGCTGCCCAAATCGCTCTTAATCAGTTGGCGATCAGTGTCTGTAAGTATGGTATGTGCTTTGCACCGTCCAAGTGCAAAGTACTGTTACAAGATTGGCAGGAGCCTGTACCTGCACTCACTCTTGCGGGTGAACCGCTTGAAGTTGTCGATAAGTTTGTGTACCTAGGTAGTTGTGTGAGTGCTGGCGGAGGGATGACGGATGAGATTTCCAACCGTATAATGAAAGCTAGGGTGGCATACATCAACTTGAGCCACCTCTGGCGCCGTCGCGACGTTAGCCTGGCTGTCAAAGGTCGGGTATACAATGCTTCGGTTTGGGCTGCGCTGCTCTACGCCTGTGAAACCTGGCCTCTCCGAGCTGAGGATGTGAGGCGACTCTGCGTGTTCGATCACCGCTGTTTCCGCAGGATTGCTTGCGTTCGATGGCATCATCGCGTGAGTAATTCTGAGGTTCGGCGGCGTGTGTTTGAACACAGTGGAGATCACCATTCATTGAATGTCGTCATCTGGAAACACCGGCTCCGGTGGCTTGGACATGTGCTGCGAATGTCACCCCAGAGGCTTCCGTACAGGTCTCTGTTCGCTAGCCCTGGGACGGGATGGAAAAGGCGGAGAGGTGGTCAGCCCATGACGTGGCGTTGTGGGATGAAGGATATTTGTGCTAGATTAGCATCGGTTGGTGTGTCACGACTCCCTGGTTGGGGTCTGAGAGATAGCTCAAATCGATGGCTCGAAACGTTATCGGATATGGCCAAGAATCGTAATCAATGGCGAATGTGTTGCGATTTCCTTCTTTCTTCCATTCCCGATGAAAGTTAACGAACACTGTTTGAACCTGTTAAGAATGAGTGTTTTCCTTCCAGATGAAGTTCATTATTCGTTCTCTACTTATAAATATTTTTTCTTTTCCTGCCTTCCTTTTTTTTCATCTATGTGGTTTTATTATTATTGTGTGGCGCATCCTTCTTGGTGCCATATTGTACCAAGTTTTAATGCGTTTAAATAAATAAATAAATACTGTCTCATTGTGTGATATATCTAATAAACAAACTAATATATGGGATGACTTATTACCACAGTGCCGTAGTTTTACACATATATTAATCATCCACAGACTTCCATAAACACATTTGCCATATAATGCTATCGCCAGTCATTGTGAATCTTGGCATTCATACCTTAATTAATTGACGTCATTGCTTATAACTTCTCATTAGAGTTCTGGAAACTCTGTATACATGGTCCAACTTTTTAATGAATAATGGAAATAATATTGGAGTTTATCCTAATTCCATGTTAGTTTGTTTATTAGATATAGCACACAGTCAGTGAAACAGTATTATTACATACTGGATGACGTTTCGAACAAAATTTATTGTTCATAATCGTATCAATTGTAATCACACGACTTTGACATTTGAGTTTTATAGTTTTCTTTGTTTTCTCCTATTTGTCGTATGGGTAGTAGAATTTTCCAGATATCGGGGACATGTGATGAATCATTCTTATTACCTGTATTTACAGTTGATTCGATAAACAAAGCTTCTGTTATCAATCTCTCCCTATACCCTGTGACATTAGATTTTAAAACTGTCATCTTATCCCACCCATCCTATTATATGGTTGTGTGACTGCATTTAGTGCTATAGCTGAAGTATTCTCTAGATTTCTTATCTTATTCGGGCCAACCAATCTAGATTTTGCTAAGTTTTTATGTTCAGCTAGTCTGACTGCCGGTGTTCTACTAGTTTGACCTATGTATTTGACCTGACAATCATTGCAGGGTATTAGATAAACTAAATTCTTTTGTTTTAAAGGCTCCACAGGACTGATCCTTTAACCGACAAAGCATGTTTCTAATTGAGTTTGTGGGTTTGAATGCCATTTTTATTCCTGCCTTGTTAAGAATTCTGCGTAAGGCTTCCGAGGTTCCTTCCATGTATGGAATTACTACTGATGATTTCGATTCGTCATTGTTGGTGTCATCATTAATATTATTATTATTATCATTATTATTGTTATTATCAGTATTGCTACTATCATTATTTATTTAAGTTTTACATTTCCTTACATATTTGCTGACTAATTTATCAGGGTAATTATTAAGTTCCAAGGCTTTTTTTATTGTTATCAGTTCCTGTTTATATTTTCTCTGGTACTATTTAGTTTTTGTGCTCTGTCATTTAAACATTTCACCAATCCTATTTTTTTACTGACATAGACAAGCTGGGATGATCGGAAGTCCAAATATCTGTTTGAATGTGTGGGGTTTCCTGTAAACGCACACTAGTGTTTAACTTCCATCTTCTTTCCTTTTTTCTTTCAATTGGGAGCTCCCACTCCTGACTTTTCAATTCATAAGTGAATTGAATTGCTTCAAACTTCGAGTTGATTTGTTCGAAAAACCTATCTGTATCTTGTGTTCTAAGTACAGTGAATGTGTCATCTACGTACCCCCACCATACTTTTGGGGTGGGGGTGAACGTTTCAATCGCTATGCTTTCCCACTTATCCATGAATATATCTGCTACAACTGGGGATATTGGTGATCCCATGGCAACTCCCTCAGTTTGATTGTATATTTTCCTTGAAATTTAAATACTGTGGAAGTCAGGCATAGCTGTACTCCCAGCATTATGTCCTCAAGTGGCACTTTCGTCCTAAGTTCGAGTTCTTGATCAGAAATGAGTTTGTTTCTGACTGCCTCCATAGCCATATTTATTGATATACGTGTATATAAATTGACAATGTCAAAACTAACCTTTTTTTCTTCATTATCTAATCTGTGTTTTAGTTCAAAAGAATTGGTTAGTCTAGATTTCAATTATGAACAACAATAAATTTTATTCGAAACCTCATCCAGTATGTAATAATACTGTTTCAGTGACTGTGTGATATATCTAATAAACAAACTAATATATGGGATGACTTACTACCACAGTGTCCAAGTTTTACACATAGATTAATAGGAGTTTATCCTATTTTTCAGGGATGCTCTGTTGATCCACGCTGAATTATGTATGTATCATTGATTAACATGAGTAACTCTCGCTCGCTAGCTAGCTAGCTAGAGTTATTTATTTATGTACTTCTCTACTTTGTTTTTTTTTTTTTGGCCTACAGATTGATCGCCTCAATAATCAATTGAAAGATTCAGATACACGTGTTCGTGAACTACAAATCAAGCTGAAAGAAACTGAATTATCTAAAAAGTCCTTTGATGACACCAGCAATAATAATAAAAATATTATTATTGAACAATTAGAAAATAAAGTGAAGGCAACCGAATCGAAGTTATCCACAGCACAGAATGATTTAAATCATTTACAATCACAAGTAGAGAAGAATAAATTGACAATTGTAAGTTGTATAGATATATGCATTATTATATATATTTTATTCGACCTAACGGTGTCCATCTAGTCAGCATGTGTGTGTGTGTTGCTTAACTATGCCAAATACAATGGAGAAGATTTGTAGCTCAGTTGGATGATTTTGATGTGGTTGTGTTCTCTGAGCTGGATAGTAGTTAATTTGCAAAGCTGTCATCGCCCTACTAGGCGACATACTTCAATTTGAATTGAAGTGAGCTTTTAGATTTCTCCACGAGTTTATTAATCATCTCTCCCGGTGGGGGTGACCTTGGACGTGATTGGTTGTTTTTGTGTGAATTCCCCCCCAATTAGGCTACTTGTATTGGAACTGATTGTTTCTTTGACTTGAACTTTGACCCTTTGTGTGTGACGCTTCTTTCTTATCGGTTGATAAATTTTGTCAATCTCAATGTGTCTATTGATTGATGATTCACTGGAATACCGGGCGGGCTTCTAAAAATTCTCTAGCATTCTTGGTGTTGTTTCCTCTGTCTAATATTTGAACGTTGGTTGTCCCAGTCGAATTGATGTCCGTGGTTGTCTGTATGTAGTGAGGTGATATGAGAGAGTGGATATCATGTCTTTTGACGGCTAGCTTATGTTCGTGGATTCGAAGATGAAGAGGATATCCACTTTGGCTACTGTAGTGTTTTTCAATATCAGATTTGATTGCAGAAGCAGTGATGCAAAGGCTCGAAAATATAATCCTACCAAAGATCAAACCCAAGATTTGGATACGTTACGTAGACGACACATTTGTAATTATCAAAAGAAACGAGTTAGATAAAACTCACAACTTAATAAACAACGTCTTCAACGACATCAAATTCACAAGAGAAGAGGAATCCGAGAATAAAATCCCATTTTTGGACGTCTTAGTCGAGCGAACAACCACAGGGGAAGTAGAAACCCAAGTTTATAGAAAATCAACTCACACAGACGAAATACTGAATTACAACAGCAACAACTCAATAACACACAAAAGGAATTGCATACAAACACTATTCAAGAGGGCCAGCCAGGACTCATTGCAGCACTCCTACCTTAAGGAAAATTGAAAGATAGAAATCTCATGGACGTCTTCCAAAAGAATAGATATCCACGAAATTTCGTCAAAAGACATATACCCCGAAGCCAACCTATCAAACCGAATGCCCCCAAGGAAAGCACAAAGAAAGTCGCCCTGCTATATATAAAGGATACATCAGAAATCACTGCAAGACTCGTTAAACCTTTAGGAATTGATGTCGCACACAAACCAACAAAGTCACTTCACTCAATTCTATGTCAACCAAAAGACTCAACAACGAAAGAAGATAAATCCAACATCATCTACAAAATAAATTGTAACAACTGCAAAAACACTAACTAAATTGGCCAAAGTGGACGTCCTCTTCATCTTCGAATCCACGAACATAAGCTAGCCGTCAAAAGACATGATATCCACTCTCTCATATCGCCTCACTACATACAGACAACCACGGACATCAATTCGACTGGGACAACCAACGTTCAAATATTAGACAGAGGAAACAACAAGAATGCTAGAGAATTTTTAGAAGCCCGCCCGGTATTCCAGTGAATCATCAATCAATAGACACATCGAGATTGACAAAATTTATCAACCGATAAGAAAGAAACCTCACACACAAAGGGTCAAAGTTCAAGTCAAAGAAACCATCAGTCAATACAATACTAGAAGGTGTGAAAACATACAAAAACAACCAATCACGTCCAAAGTCACCCATCAAGAGAGATGATTAATAAACTCGTGGAGAAATCTAAAAGCTCATTCCAATTCAAATTGAAGTATGCGCTGAAGATGTCACCTAGTGGGGTGATGAAAGCTTCGCAAATTCACTACTATCCAGCTCAGAGAACACAACCACATGAAAATATGCCAAATACATCCATACTTATTTTACAATCTCCTAGCAGCATACATGACAGATACTGTCAGCCTGTATTGGTCACTCGTCTATTTGTATGTTTCGCTACCTTATTTTAAAAAAAAATTCGTATACGTAAAGAAGTTGAAAAAGAGATTTTTATTCACTTCATTGAAAGGTGTTCACATTCTTCAGTATCGTTTCGAACGCCAACAGATCGTTTTCATTGACTAACTGACTTCTAGGCTAAAAGATATTTAATCATTTAATTGTTTTAATCAAAACAACATTGGGAAACTTTTTATAGTTTCAGTCAATAACCAAGAAACAATATTTAGGAGTTCCTTATAATCATATTAGTTTAGTTATACAGCTTCACAATTTGTCGTATCACCGAAAATACTCACTGATTGAGTCATGAAGAAAAATAAAAGACAAATTCAGCAAAGAAAATGCTTCTTTATCGAAGAAATCATCTTCAGAGAGGCTGTACTGTACAGTCGCATTTATATTTACCAAAAAATGTATAGTAATGTATTGCTGAGTAATTGAGGGGGTGGTGACATAATTGATATAATTACTCGGAAGTGGTTTAAGGAGTAAGAATATAAAAGTTGTAAAAATTTGATAAGGTTAAAATTGTTATTGAGTAGTGAGAATGAAGGTAGTTGAGTGTCAATTTACCAAGTGTGTTTATAAATTCACTTGCTCGTGTGGAGCTAGTTATATTGGCCGCACAAAGTGCACACTTTCCAAACGCATCTCTGAACATTATCCGGCATGGTTAGCAAAAGGACAAAGCAAAACAATTATCAGTTCAATTCTCGAGCATTTGGTGAACTCAGGTCACGTAGCTCCACCAGAGTTGTCTTTCAAGATCATCTACATGGTGAGGCCAAATGGTACAAAGGGCATCAGGTTTCGGCTTTTGTGTATGGCGGAGGCGTTGGCAATTCGTCAATACGACCCCGAACTCTGTATACAGGAAGCGTTTGTCCAGTCTCTTATTCCACCTTGTTCTTAACCACTTCACTATTCGTTCCCTGTAGAAAATTTTGATTTTCTCTTTTCTTATTTTTAATTTTCAATTTTACTTTTAGTTTGCTTTTGCTTTAATAATTAATTCACTATTATCACTCTCATATGTTCCTTTGATGTTTTCACACCCTGTTCACACTTGTTAAATGGACACTCAACTGCCTTTATTCTCAATCAATAGCAATTGTAACCTTATCAAATTTCCAACTTTGCGCCGTTGAGTACCACGTAATTTAAAACTTTTATTTTTATTTCTAAAGCCACTTCCGAGTAATTGTATCAATTATGTCACCCCCTCCATCACTCAATAATAGACCACTTTACATTTTTGGTCAATGTAAATGCAACTGTACAGTACAGCCTGTGAAGATGGTTTCGTTGATAAAGAAAATTTTCTTCGCTGAATCTGTCCTATATATTTTTTCTCTTTTTCTGTCTCTCCAGCTTCCCTTTGGTGTTTGTTGCCACTTTCCACATCTCCGGTATAGGCGGCGTTGCGTCATTCCTTTTGCACTTGTGCAGAGGCGAATCGATAAACAAAGCTTCAGTGAATAACGTCTCCCTATCTCTCTTCACCTAACTGTATTACATTTTTTGATACTCTCACCCTGTCCAACCTTGTTGTTGTGTGAGATTACATGCTAGTCAATGCAGTGCAGTGCAAACGGCTGAGCTCTGTTTTTTTTCTAGCTTATTCAACTTACCAGGGTCAATTATTCTAGGTCTAGCTAAGATTTTTTATCTTCCAATAATCTCTCTGACTGACCCCGATCCACTTGATTGACCAGTGTAATTCATCTCACTAACAGTCATTACATGATATTTGTCTCTGCAATATCCCTCTAAGCAATAATTTATGCTCGAAACCTTGTCTGTCATCCAGTTGTTAATAATACTGCATCATCATCACTGTGTGTGTGTGTGTGATTATTAAAATAAACTAATCGAATAGGGAATTACATTCTACCACAGTGTCTGTCCAAATTCTACACTCACAATAGATTAGATTAGAAATAGGAAGTGAAGTGGTAGAGCACGTTGACCGCTTCACTTATTTGGGAAGTACTATCAGCCAGTACCAACGGGTTGATCTCAGACAAAATCTCAGTACGAATACAGAGGGCTAGTTTCGTATATGCCAGTTTACGCCGACTCTGGCGTAGACGTGATATCCGGCTGGCTATCGACCCAAGTACGGGTGTACTGCTCAGGAGTCCGCTCCGTCCTCCTTTATGGCTGTTGGTGAGACCTGGCCAATGAGAGTGGAAGATATGAAAAGGCTGGCTGGTTGTCTTCGATCATAGGTGTCTGTGTTCTATCTCCTGTGTGAAGTGGTAGGTGTAATAAGGTGAACAATATTGAGGTAAGGCGTTGAGTTCTAGGTAAGCGATGAGGGGAAATCAGTCGACGAGGCTGTGAAGCAGCTGCATCGACTGAGATGGTTAGGACGTGTGTTATGCATACATGCCTAGTCATCGCCTTCCTCGACAATGGGTAATGTTAGCTGACATAGGGTGAGGCTGGAAAAGTGCTGGCGGCAATCAAACCAAAACATGGCACCAGTCAATGAAATCTACGACAGCTAGTCTAGGCCACGTAGGAAGATGTAGACTGGTTTCCTGGTTGAGTTCCTCGGGATGGTAAAAACCAATGGTTGGAAACAATTGGTGACATGGCTCAAAATCGTTCTCAGTGGTGGAGACGCATCCACTCCTTGTGACTTATGATTTCCAGTGAAACCACATAAGTCTTCGTTATTACTATATCGCACCTCTGTTTGCTGTTTCTATTATGCATTTCTCCTACTTTCTTCTCTTGCTTTGTGTGCTACAAGGAGTAAGTGTGGCGACTTGAACTGCCGCACATATGTGCAAAGTTCTATGTCGAAAACGGACCGACTGACACTCACATTAATATTTAACGAGTTGTTGTACAGTGTGAGATAATAAATAAGTCACACATTCACTCTGGAACTGGATCAGTCAGTCTAAATTTTCTCTATGCTAATTTTATTGGTCAGACGGTGAATAGACAATCAATTGATTTTATCCTTTTCAAAATGCCTCCTAGGTGTGTGTGTGTGTGTGTGTCGGATCAAACGCTGAAACTCAACGGGAAAAGGTTGAAGTCTCAGTCTTATCAAAGTGTTATAAAGTGAAATTGTCAAATATAATGGATAAAAGCATAATATGATACAACTGTAAAGTCTGACTGATTGACTGACTGTTTAACGGGTTTCAACATAGAACTTCGCACAGATGTGCAGCAGTTCGAGTCGCCACCCCACCTTCTTGTATCACACAAAGCAAGACAACAGGGTAAACAGAGGTTGAAAAGACAGATAATAAAAACAAAAGTTTGAGTGAGGGGAAAATGAATAGTGATATGGAAGAGCAATGGAGTTTTATTGGATGGGTGTAAAAAATCACAAAGAATGAATGCATCTGCAGCAGACATTGACAACGAGGATTGTCAGCCATATCACCAATTGTCTGTCTCCAGACGTCATTGGTTTGCCACTATCACGAGGACCCCAACCAGTCAGGAAGTCTACAGCTTCCTCCCTACGTGACTCGCTGTCTCAAACTAACTGTTATGGATTTTATTGACTGATAAACCTTTTTTTTGGTTTGATCACCACTAACTAACTCTTTTCCAACCTGAACAATCCTGTGTCAATCAGCTAACATTACGCGTCGTCGAGGAAGGCGATGGCTAGACAAGCGTGCGTAACAAATGCCCTAACCATCTCAATTGATGGAGCTACTTCACAATCTTGTCGATCGATTTCTCCTCCTTACCTAGTACTCGTCTGAGGCCTAACCTCAATATTGCTTACCCTATTACATATACCACCGTACACGGAATATAGAGTTGACTGCTAGGCAAATTGGTAAACAGTAATTTACGTCAATGTTTACGTCCCCAATATTGGTCGTGAGAGAAATAAGAATAAAGACTGATTCAACAACCAATCACAGCAGACTTTGCGTAGGTGGATACAATTTGCAGATAGATAATCTGAACTTCAAGAAACGGCCACAAAGGGATGAAAGATTAACGTTCAGTGAGAAACCACCGATCAGAAGACTGTGTTTGTTTGCTTACAATAATCTATAATAATGTACATGAAAATGTATAAATATCTGTTGATTTCGCAGATAAACGATCTGTTGCCTAGCTGGCCTTGTCTTCTGTTGTTACACTATAAAGAAGACAAGACTGAGGAGGCTGGAAGGAATGTTTATTTGGTGAAACTTATGGTAGATAGCTAAATTTGGTATACCATATTCTCATCCGGCCATTTGCACATCATTTACCACATCCTTGACGAATTGGTTGAATATCGTCTCATTCGATAGCTTCTTGAATTCTGCATCATATGGCAACATTCTTCTCATGGTTCTCTTCTTTGATTGCTCTTCCCAGTGTGCCAAACATATTGTTACTTCGTTTCTGATATACTACTTATATCGGATTATAAGTAGCACTCACCACAACACTATGATCAACGACAGGTGGTAGTTGGCTGTGGTCTTCCACTTTCAATGACCATGTCTCACCGACAGCCATAAAAGAGGACGGATCGAACTGCTGATGTGCAGTACACATTTCCTTTGGTCGACAGTCGGATATTATGTCTACTAAGTTGGAGATGGCGTAATTTAGTAGAAATTGATATCAATATGGGCCTCATGTTTCATGTTCTGATGACCTTTTTGTATATATAACATCTTCCGTTAGTAGACTTGAGGAATTGAAGAATTACGATGACCGTTGTCAGTGTAGTTTTTGTTTGTTGAATGCTGGGCAACAGTGAAGTAATTTTATATGCTTACATTTGGCCTATTATTTATTTTCACTCACATTTTCTTTCCACCGTTATTTGTCTGTTGTTTATATCCAGAATACATTGGAAGCTAACCTACACGAATCTCGTCAGCAAACTTTAATCGCAGATAAAAGAACTGAATTAGCTCAAAATGATAATATACGTTTGGCACGTGAATTAACACAATATAAGGAAAAAGCTAATCATATTTTAGCCATGAAAGAACGGGTAAATTCAGTTTTCTTATTTTTGTTGTTTTCGGTAGACTACTTATTTCATATTGAGTAGTTAAATACACAACGGTATTAAATGTGAAGTTTTTTCATGTGGTGGATTTTAGGAGCTTTTTTGATTTTGTAAGGGATTTCAACACTGATGATGGACAGCTTTTAAGGAACCATTGACAGTTAATCGCATTTTGTAACGGAACAGGCCTTGAAATCAGTCCAATGCCCTACAGGCCCATATTTAGAAATAAATTCGCTGTATAGTTGTGAATTACAATTGGATAGACTTCCAGGAGTGCTGACTCAGAAGTCTACAAGCTGGTGGTGGTTGAGCTTGCATATCAGAATAACAAGATGAGTTATTCCTGCCTGCTATACCGTTGTGTTACATCCTAGTGTGTAAGTGTTATTTTAGGCTTCTGTCGACTAGATCAAGCTACTGTCAGAGGAGGAGGATAAAGCCGTAGTAAATACTTTTCATTCAATAACCAGCAAGGGATCTGCACTACTTTCCCACTCTTCAGAGGCTTGATTGAAAAAGGTTGTCTTCAAGATTCGGTTAATAGTTTTTGATAAGGCGCTTCGTACGATTGAACCTTCCAAAAATCCGACTGCATTTAAACGACGGGTGTATATTCAGCCTTCTGTAAAGCGTCTTATGTCCTGTTCAGTCAAATTAGACGACTAACTCCGACTTATCACGTATAATAACGTTCAAGAATTACGCAACTGATAATAGTCAATCCGCTACACACCTCTCTCTCTTAATCAAGGAATTTTCGTGACAAAAATGTTGAATGACTCCAACAATTTTGTCAAACTATTGCCTAAGAAAAAATTAATAAAAATTCATTATATTCTTAGCCATACTGTCTTTCATTTCTCTCGCTTATTGTTCATTTTTCCAAACTGTGTCAACCTGTGTGCTAATTTCCAGGTTTCTTCAATTCCTCATATAACAGAAAGCATACTAGGATGAATGACTTGTTATCCACTTTGCGGAACTGACGAGGATATCATAGCAAGAATCGGGAAAGCAAGACAAGCTTTCACTACTCTCAAGTCTGTGTGGAGGTCAACAGCACCACTCAGCATCAAAAATAACATCCGGATTTTCAACTCCAATGTGAAGAAGTCAGTGCTACTATACGGATCAGAGACTTGCACTGCGCGTCATAAAGAGCACCTCAAACAAACTACAGACCTTCATTAATGGCTGTCTTCGCTTAATACTCAAGATCAGATGGCCGGCCAGAAAAGATCAGCAATAGGGATCTCTGGGAGCAGGAAGAAATGGAGGTGGATTGGCTGGACATCGTCTGAGGAAACAATCCATCAAGTGACATCACTAGACAAGTCATTGCTCGAGTGGAACCCGAAAGGGAAGCGGCGAGTTGGTCGTAAGTGCAAGGGTGGGGGTGACTTGGAGGAGGTCATGTGAAGAGGAGATGAAAACGTGTGGGCAGACATGGAGCCAGGTGAAGACTCTAGCAGAGAACCGAACGCAATGGCGACGCACGACTGAAGCCCTATGTTCCTCTAGGAATTAAAGGAAACAATAATAATAATATAACTTCTCACTGCTTCTAATCATTGATATTAGTGTATCGTGATTGTGTATCGTATAAATTGTCTTTTAAATTAACGTTGACCCTAAGTACAGACTGATAAATAATACGCTTAATTCAGCTTTCAGCTTGTGCGTCAGTGGCACAGCAGTTAGGACGTTCGCCAACCATGCACATGATCCGGGGTTTGATCCCCGGCCACAGACGCACTCCTTTACGTTGCTAAGGCAGTAATAAAAAAAAGTAGCTGGTAAAGAGGAAAGGTTGGACATGAGGCTGGCTAGCAACCCCACTTTGTAGAAATAAACACCACTAATACAGAAACGTCAAGCTTCTAGCTTGAAGGCACCCCCTGTGTTCCGTTGGGAACGTGAAGGAATAAAAAAATAAAAAACTTTCAACTTGGCTAATAAAGTAACGTTTCGCATTCTTATAGCACTCATTTGAAGGAGATAGCTGGAAAAAAAATGTCGAAGGAATCGATTCGCTGTCAATGATTTGAGTCGTTAAGTCAAAGGTGTGTTAGCACTGATGATTGCAGTGTGGTAATATATATATATATATATATATATATATATATAATAATTTATATAGAGTAGTACCTTATGGGTGCGTCGGTGTCGTAGTTGTTAGGACGCTCACCGACCATGGACATGGTCCGCGGTTCGATCCCCGGCCACGGACGCACTCCTTTACCTCGCTAAGCCAGAAATAATGCTGGTGAAGAGGAAAGGTTGGGCGTGAGGCTAGCAACCCCATCCTGTAAAAATAAACACTGCTACAGAAACTCTAAGCCACTAGCTTGAAGCCCTATGTTCTACTGGGGAACGTGAGGGAAAAAAAGTATCTTATGTGGTATTTCTCAGTGCTGAACAGAGATGGAAAAAATCAATACAATACAATGTCTATTGTCTCTCTCTGCATTGCTGTATTGTACTATACTTCCTTATATTTTGTACTTGAAAAAGACGATGAAATCACAGGAAACAAGAATTTCAAAATCAAATTTTTGAGGATTTGTAATGAATTTAACTAATTTCAATGTAGGCCTCCTTTTTTTCCAGTTGGTAGTGATGTATCGTGAATTAGTAGAAGCTACAATCCCTGTCGTCAATAGAGGAGTTGCTTGGTAACCTGAAGCTGCCAGATTTGATCTTTAGTGAGAAAAAACAAATGCAGTCTACTCAAAAGTAGTCATAAGTAGTCAGAACAAACTGACTGTTCAGTATCGCATGCTTTCAGATAATTGTTTTAAACCGACGTCGGTCCTTGACGAGATCTACATTGGAAGTAGTTATTTGTTATGTCATATACGGGTGAGTTGCATCTTTGTTTATTCATTCATTTAGGTGTTTTACGAAAGGCCTTGTATGGTTGATGTCCACGTTGAGTACAAATAGTTGTGCTTCTTCTATGTTAGGATTCTCTTTTTATTAATCACAAACATATTTTATGCTGTCTTCTTTCATATTTTTCTTTTGTTTTGGTGGGGTTGGGGTGTTTCAGGTAATAGCTTCACTACGTGGTCAAGAAATGAGTTCTGATGGATCACAAAATATTCTTAGCAATGAAGAGAATACAGAAAATGAATTGATTAATTCTATACGAGCTGAATGTGATCTTTTACGTGAAGAGGCTAGTCGATGGCGTCTTGAAGTTGATCATAGAGAAATGGCTATCCAGGAATTAGAATTACAAATGCAAACTGAACGTGAATCATTACGACGTAATATTGAATTGTATGAACAACAAGCAGAACGTGAAAAACAGGTTAGTTTGTTGTTGTTGTTGTTGTCATTGGTTTCAATCATTTAAGAGCAGGTTTTTTAAATGCAAATAAAAAAAACAACACCAAATGACCTGGATAATCAGGAGTCGATTATGATACTGTTTTCACGTATTGATTTTGTAGGGAATTTTGTTTAATTGATTGGAGGATTTCATCATGAGTTGACATCAGTTAGAGAATCACTGGAAACCTTGGAGTACTGGAGGGCTGTTTCGTCCTAGTTTGGGACTCTTCAGAAGTACGCATCCACCGCCAGGGTTCGAACCCAGGACCTTCTGGTTATAAGGCCAGCGAGCTCGTAGACCACTCAGCAGCCACTGGGATCCGATCCAATGGCCAGTCGATGAATTCCAACTTCTGCTAATTCATTCATGACATAGCGCGAAATCGAGAAATCTTGGTGGGATATGGCTGAAAATCTGTTGTTTTCAGTACATGTGTCATTTACTACCCTTCATTGAAAATTCTGTATTGTGAACACTCATATTTGTCATTTTTAGTGTGATTTTGTTTCTTTTCCGTTTTTTTAAAAATGCTATTTTGGAGGCGGGAGGGGGGGCGTGTATTAACTCAAATTGATTCATTTCTATGGAAAGTCCTACTTTTATTCATTACTCATACAGGATATTCTGAAGATGAACTCCATGCTGAGGTTAATAGGATTATAGAGCTTCTGTTTGAAAATGATTATTCAAAAATAAAAAATCGTCAGTATCGCATGGAAGAAAGTATGACAGGAGGAAAGAATATTGTCAATAATGATTTAGGTGAAAGAAAGGTCCATTTTAAACCAGTTGGTTTTCTTAAAAGGTTACATCTAAAGATGGGAAACCGAAAGACCAAGAATTGGTATCTGGTCGGCTATCAACCAAAGGGCGGGTGCACTGCTCAGCAGTCCACTCCATCCTCCTTTTTGGCTGTTGGGGAGACCTGGCCATTGAGAGTGGAGGACATGAAAAGATTAGCTGTCTTTGATCATAGGTGCCTGCGTTCTATCTCCCGAGTGAAGTGGTAGGTGTAATAGGGTGAGTAATATTGAGGTTAGGCTTCGGTCGAGTGCTAGGTACTGAAGGAGGGGAAATCAATAGACGAGATTGTGAAACAGTTGTATCGATTGAATGAGATGGTTAGGACATGTGTTACGTATGCCTAGCCATCAACTTCCTCGATGGGCAATGTTAGCTGACATAAAGTCAGGCTGGAAAGGAGCTAGCAAGTAGTGGTCAAACGAAAACATGGCGTCATCAGTCAATGAAATCCACAACAGTTAGTTTAAGCCAGCCAGCCACGTAGGAAGGTGTAGACTGCCTGACTGATTGGTTGGGGTCCTCGGGACGGTAAAAATCGATGGTCACTGGAGACAATCAGTGATATGGCTCAAAATCCTCGTTCTCAATGGCTGGTGCAGATGCATCCACTCCTTGTGACTTATAATTTCCAATGAAACTATATTGTTCTTCGTTATTACTATTCCTTTGTCTCACACCTCTGTTTACTGTCATTATTATGGATTTCTCATACTTTCTTCTCTTGGTTTGTGTGCTACAAGGAGGGTGTGTGGTGACTTGAACTGCTGCACATCGGTTGAAAGTTCTTTATCGGAAACAGACAGACCGACAGACAGATACACTATGATTGTAACTGTTCTGTCTTCTTAGCGTTGAAAGGATTAGCTTCCTGGGATTTTCTGTTGGCAACCGCAAACCTCTTTAGGGTATGGATAAAATTCCACTTATAGAAGAATCGCATAAGTCAGCTGTCACTGTAATGGCTAGAGAGACTGAAATGCACGTAAAACCTCATATTGTCTTCAATTTATAGTAATGTCAGTCAGGAAGATTACTCTAGTCTCATGGACCCTTTTAGCTATCCCCACTTCTATTCAACTTCATCATAGACGTACTAATGGACTTAACCCTAACTCACTTCAGAGACTCAGGGATTGACTTGCTACCAGGGAACAATCTCGTTGACTTAGAATATGCAGACGATATAGTCCTTTTAGGCGAGGACGCTGACAAAGTGCAGAGTCTTCTCAACACTTTGAGCTGCAATCTTCGTATGTTTGGCATACGATTCGCCCCTGTCAAATGTAAGATGATAGTTACAGGACTGGACTACACTGACTTTTAGTTTAGAAGTAGGGAGTGAAGTGTTAGAGCACGTTGACGACTTCACTTATTTTGGGAAGTTGCATCAGCGCCAACGGGTTGATCTCTGACGAAATCTCAACACGAATATAGAGGGCTAGTTGCAGATATGACAGTTTACGCCATCTCTGGCGTAGACGTGACATCCGACTATCGACCAAAGGGCGTGTTTACTGCTCATCAGTCTGCTCCGTCCTCCTTTATGGTCAGCTGTGAGACCTGGCCATTGAGAATGGAAGACATGAAAAGATTAGCTGTCTTCGATGATAGGTGCCTGTGTTCTATCTCCCGTGTGAAGTGGTATAATAAGGTGAGCAATATTGAGGTTAGGCCTCGGTCGAGTTCTAGGTAAGGAGGGGAAATGAGTCGACGAGGCTGTGAAGCCGCTGCATCGACTGAGATGGTTAGGTCTAAGCCACGTAGGAAGGTGTAGACTGGCTTCCTGGTTGGTGTCCTCGGGACGGTAGAAACCAATGGTTGGAAACAATTGGTGATATGGCTGAAAATCCTCGTTCTCAATGGCTGGTGCAGATGCATCCACTCCTTGTGAGTTATGATTTTCAATGAAACTGTTTTGTTCTTCGTTATTACTATTCCTTTGTCTCACACCTCTGTTTACTGTCATTATTATGCATTTCTCCTACTTTCTTCTCTTCCTTTGTGTGCTCAACATGGATGGAGTGTGGCGACTTGAACTGCCGTACATATGTGCAAAGTTCTATGTCGAAAATCGACCGATATGGCTGTATAGCCTGCACTTCTCGACTTGATTGGCTTAGGCTAAGAGTCAACGACTTTGTATGGGTTGGCGACATACTTTGATCTAATTGTTCCTCTTAATTCTTTATTGTGATCTGAACATAAATGTTCCATTGTATGTATTATCTTTTCTCTATTCATTCAAATACTTTTTGTTGATTAAATTCTACTATTATTTTTTTGTTGTTGAATATTTCATTCTCTGATGAATAAGTAGCTGAGAGAAGAAGCTGACACAGAGCTGGCACATTTACGACAATCAATACGTCAATCCGAGGAGACATTCAGTCGTCAGAAAGCTGAGCTACACACTAAACTTATGTCAACTGAATCAGAATTGAATCGATTAAGACAATTAGCATCATCAGCATCCAATGAATCATCAGCGTCATCGCGTCAATCAATACCGAGTCGAAGTGATCCAGAAAATATCTTGACACTTGAATCTCGTATAAGACAATTGACCGATAATCTCTTATCGAAACAAGATGCCTTGGACTCAGTCTTAGCACAGAATCATGCTTTGAAGGTAAGCAGACTACAGACTGACTCTGATTGCTATATTTCCAATAACTATTTATAAATTAATATAATAATAATAATAATGTGATTTATTCCAAAACAGTACTAATGTTGCAATGTGGAATTTGCCCGACCGATAGCTGCTACCTTGACGCGGTGGTCGGGCTTGCATATCGCAATGACCCAACGAGCTACACTGGCCGGAACTTAAGTTCCTGTAGGTCCTACCATGCCAGAAAGGTTGCATGGATAGCGGTTAGACAAAAAGTAGCTACTCAATCCAATACTATGGTTCAAACAAATTCACAAAATACCATGCCGGATCGGTCGAGGCCCGGATTAACAACGACCGCGCTTCCTGCTGCCGTGTCACAGGGCAGAAGTGATAAATACGCTACTGAGACACACCAAATAATAAAGAACAAACAAAAACAGGCCGTGTGTGACCGGCCTCAAGCAATTGTCCCCTGGGCTCTGCGGTCACGCAACACTAACCTTTTCTCTATTTCAGGTACCCAAAGACTCAACCAACTTCCACGGTGTGGGCAGCTGGGAAGTAACAACCGCCCACACACTTCCAAAAGCACACGAAGCCTTCCTGAGCATCACTCTCCCTTACTCACATCACCTTCCTCATCTTGCTTCTCTACTGCAGTTAGCACTATTCTTCAGGCTAGTGAGTCATCTTCACTTCACTCTGCGACCTCAAACAGCGATGACAGCCGTAGAAACACCCGAGATAGCCTTTTAAAGCCACGTTGCCAACTTCATATAGGAGCTTTTAGCGTCAGGACCCTCTGCTAAATCGGACAACAGGCATCACTAGCAAGAACTCTGGAATCTAGAGCCATGGATGCATGTTGTGTTTAGGAGACACGCATACAAGACCCGAGTGTGGTCATTCACTTGACCTCACCCGGTCAACAAGGTGAATCTGCAAAATTCACTTTAAGGGTATCGGGAGACCCCTCAGCTAGCTCACGAGGACTCGCAGGTGTAAGGACATCACTGAGTGTTAGGGCGGAAAAATCACTTCTTGACTGGATCCCAGTAGATAGTCGTATGTGTGCGGTCCGTCTGAACGGGTCCGTTAAAAGAAGGAAAGATGGCGCTACCCGTCGTTGCCTTTTCGTAGTCTCCGCTTATGTCCCAACAAACTGCAGTTCGGATGAATTAAAAGATGACTTCTACCTGAAACTGTCTAATTTGCTGCTAAAAGCGAAACGTTCAGATATAGCTGTTTTGGCATGTGATTTCAATGCCCAAGTAGGGAAGTTGTGCCAGACTGAGAAATATGTAGGTACGTATGGGGTTCCCTGCCGACGAACCGACAACGGTGATTGTCTTCTTCAGTTTTGCTCAGATAATCATCTGTTCCTAGTCAGGACTAACTTTAGGCACAAAGAGAGACATTGTGTAACCTGGCGACCTCCATCACCAAGTCAACGCGGGACTCAGATAGACCACATAGCCATAGGGTATCGTTGGCGAGGGTCAGTAGAAGACTGTCGCTCCTTCTGGAACACGTGCGTAGACTCTGATCACGCTCTGGTTCGCGCACGTTTATGCTAACGACTAAACAGACAGACAGACAGTGGAATTTTCAACATTTGGTACATTTTCGCATCTAATTTTATCGAATAATAATATAACGAACAATGATACATATAATATTACAGGATTTGTTAATCACAGTTCTTGAAATAATAGAGAAGATTTGTAGCTCAGGTGGGTATGATTTGCAATTAGTAGTGTTCTCTGAGGAGCTGGTTGGTTTAGTTGCGGTGGAGCTTTCGTCGTCCTCCTGGACAACATCCCCCTTCAGCGCAATACTAATGAGACAGTTCTTATTTGGTGTGTTAGTAATAACAGTGAAGGCGTGTGTGTATATATACAAAGAATTTGTAAATAATAATAATAATAATAATAAGAGGGTAAATAGCTAAAATTGTCAGTTAATTGAAGTATTATCACCGTAGATTACAAATAGGAGATAATAAAAGAGCTGATTATTTAGTTAACAACACATAATAATTCATAAGTTTCACGCTTTACATTGTCTCTATGACAAGAAACACGGACTGGCCAAATATGGTATCGTTGAGTTCCTATACTTGGTAGCACGAGCACATATAATCTTTTTTGTACTGACTTCTGGTTCTACCAGATGAGTGAGATACAAGTGTGGAGAGAGTTCAGAATAATAGACGGAGTGTTGACGATCAGACAGTATAGATTTAGACCATTTCTCGCATGAGTTGTTTAGATGTCTATCAACTAATACAGTAAATGACAATCTTACTAAGCTTCAGACCATTTGCCCTGCTAACAACCTTTAATACCCTTCTTATAGTGGCGTAGTCCTTTTTCAGTACCTCATGAAAGACTAAGCGGGAGCAGTAAAGTGCAGTAGGTAAGATACACGAGTTAATAAATCGGTGGCACAGCGGTTAGGACTCTCGCTGACCATGCACATGGTCCGGGATTCAATCCCTTGCCGACGCACACCTGATATCTATAGTCGGCCTGAAAAATTTAGGCTACCGATATCACACAGGCTGAAAATTCCATACTTGTTCCAAAAATACTGTGTGGAGTCAAGCTATAATAAAAAAAAGTGGAGGTTGAGTTATTCCAGATAATTTTAGCTTCTTAATGTAGTAGCGTAGATGGAATATTTTCTTAGAGATCCATGAAATATGGGATGAAGAAGTAAGGTCAGAAAATAAAACTACACTAAGGTAGTTTGTGTTAAACTTAGCTCTTTTTACAGTCACCTCTATGCTACAAGTATCGTGTGAATTAACCAGTCGTTGTAGATCACGTTTATGTGTAAAGGAGAAGTCAACAGTCTGGCGTTTTGAGGGATTTAATATAAGACCATGAAGCTTAGACCACTGACTTAACGTCCGACAGAAAGCAGTTAGGTCTACAACAGTCAGATTGGGATTCTACAGAAAGCTAGACTGTCAGATCATCAGCGTATTCGACGAAGTTGATTTCGTTAGAAAGAGATGTCAGTGCAAGGGTGACATGGAGGAGGTGATGTGAAGAGGAGATGGAAGCGTGTGGCAGACGTGGAGCCAGGTGAAGACTGTAGCAGAGAACCGAACGCAATGGAGACGCACGACTGAAGCCCTATGTTCCTCTAGGAATTAAAAGAAACAATAATAATAAATAAATTATAGTTTGAAAGGCTCTATTCGAACTGACAGTTAGTCGAAGACGTTTTGTCTTGTTGTGCAGTGTTTTTGCTGTTCCTCTGATTTATTATTATTATTTTTTAAATACCATTCAGGTGTACACCTGTTCTTTCAGTAAGGCATATTATATTCCTACCTCGTCATTTATAGTGGCTATAATAAATTCCTTTCTGTGTTGTTATAGATTCGACTTGATCGTGTTATGAATGACAATGAGTCGCTTGTCTCAGCTTTATCCTCTGATGACGCTCAGTTGATCTTAGAAAATGGTAGACCTTATCAATCTGTTGGATATGGTTGTACTCGGCTTAATTTACATGTAAGTGTTAAATAAATTTTTTTTTAAATAAGTAGATTGATGCATTTTACGGAAAAAGTGTGTTATGAAACTTCATGCATTTATTCCCCTTGATGAATTTGAATAAAGCAAGAACAACAGTGATGGTTTGTGCAGAATAATATGGTACCATCATCGCTTATTTCGTTGGCTTCTCATCAGCTGCTTACAGCCTAAATAAATTATGAGGTTTACGTACAGAAAAGTTTTTTTACATACTTGCAAATTTTACATGTTGTCAGTTGACAGAAAGTTCCACAATTAGTGAAAAGTGTTCAGAAAATTGTGCTTATATAGTTTTTACACAGGCAGTTCAAGTTTAAACAAAATAAATGTATGCGTACAATGGTGAAGGAGTTACGTAATAAAGACGAGAGGTGAGTAAGATGATGAGTAACTAATAAATTTGGTAACGATGTACTGAGTTCAAATCACGTCATAGAAACAAGAGACAAGCAATATTACAGATTATAAAAGAGAGGGGTGAGGTTAAAGACAAAGATTACGTAATCAGAGTGGAGAATACAGACATCCAGTGTTCAGAAAGAAGCAGTTATCATTCTTTCCTTGCCATGGTAACTGTATTAATAATAATAATAGTGAACTTACATAATAAAGGAAAGAAGTAGTAAGAACTTTACTCTGGCCATGGTAGGGCGAGAGAATGTATGTATCGCTTTTGAATGCAGAGGTCCGGTTTCAGATCTCGAATAGCCAATGCTTCAGCTATGTACAGATGGCGTATCCGAAGTCCCTTTGTACGATATTGAGGGACTCTGTGTAACACTGTGAAGCATTCATGCAAGTGGGGGTGCTCGATGTCCAGAGATGACCAGGTGTTCGAGTATCGAGCTGTTGCTATTCTTCTTTTCTCCTCTGGCTAACCAAGCTGGACAGTGTTCCAGAATACGTTTGTGGACTTGACGTTGCGTACGGCCGATATACTTTACTCCACACGAGCAAGTAAATTGATCAATACACATTGAAGTGGCCAAAAGCAGTATCTTATAAAAACTCCACAATTCAGGGTTGTGTTTTTTTCTTTAAAACGTCCAAAACTCCACTTACTAGATTTAGGCAACCGATTAGCATCATCAGGCTGCATATCTACTAACACGAAATAACTCTGCAGTCGATTTAAGCTTTTAACTGTATAATCCCTGTTGTTTTTCATTGTCACACGTTGTTTCACCTCATCTAATTTATTACAGTATCAATATTATTGTAGCTTTTCTGCTTTGTCAAACTATTATTATTATTATTATTATTACTATTGAATAGAATTCACCTATGCCGAAACAACTGAAATTATTGGCCTATCGGATCGATAACTTTGGTATTCGTATGGCAAATACATTTCGTCGTATCCCAATCATTCGTCTTATAACAATATCCTATTTATTGTTACTTCATATATGGATGATTCTCTCATTTCTGCTGCCTGTGAATAACACGACAACTACTGTTAGTATGAGTAACAGTAAGTTACCTGCTGATCAGAATTCACCGGTTGTCGTCGATTCAGTTAATCAAATTCCTGTTGTGTTAAACAAGCCTTAAACAGCTGTCTTGTTACTTACTGTCTTATTACTGAAGATAGAAACTTTAGTCGACTGACTGCTGCTCATCAATGATTTGTATTTTTTGTTGTTGTTGTTTTGTCCTTGCTAATTTCGTTGTATTGTCTCTCCTACTTTTTCTTTTTTGTGATACTTTATCTCATGTCGTACATGTGACATTCAATTTCCCTTTCTGTTAATCTCTTTTCCGTCTTCTTCTTTGCCTCCTCATCCGTTTTTTGTATCCTTTTGAGAAAAATGGTGTTATGTTAATGTGGTGTTGTTGAACTAGTGTGTACATCTGAGGTGTTTTTGAAATTCTTTCTTTTTATTGATTTTTATTACTTTCCAGTGAATTCCTTTATTTAAATATTTCAATAAATTATAACCAATCAGATTAATTCAACCTTTCTTCTTTTTCAAGGTCACCTGTAGAATGTGCATATTTATATCTCTGATATAATAATAAATTGAATTATTTACAATGCCATTCTAATATGTTGCTATAAGTAATAAAACTTGGGCACTGTGGTGCTGGTTGGTTGAGTATAACTCAATTACAGATAAGATTTTATTTTGATAAATAACACACAGTGTTTGTTATACAGTAAGTAAGTATTAACTGATGACCACACTTTGAGCACAAACTATTGCCGCTGATAATCATCATATCAAGTCACTCACTCACTCACTCACACAATTTTCTTATTTAATCGTCTCATACATTGGGATAATCTGCCATCCAGGATAATGATTTTTCATATGTTTAGTAGAAACTTGCAAAAACCAGCATGTTGTAGATGTGTTTTTAAATACTCTCCAGAATAAACAATACTATTAGAGGTTATACTTTGCTAAGTTTAAACAAATCGAATAGGCGAAATTATGTACATATAATATATATATATTATTTTTCCCTTGGGTTCCTAGTGGAACATAGGGCTTCAACTGCACGTCTCCACTTGCTTCTGTCTTCTACTGTACTTTTCACCTGCATCCATGTTAGTCCATACTGTTTCAGCTCCTCTTCACACAATCTCCTCCATGTCACCCTTCGACGTCCTACTCACCGCTTCCCTTTCGGGTTCCACTCGAGCTATGGCCTGACGCGCGATGTCACCCAGCGGCCTCCTCAGCCAGTGAGTGTCCAATCCATCTCCACTTTCTCCTGCATATTTGTTGTTTGGCGATTGGTTCTTGTTTTGTTTGTTCCCATAGTTTCTTGTTGGTGATTCTTTCCGGCCATCTGATCTTCAGTATAGAGCCAGCGAAGACAGCTGTTGATAAAGGTCTGCAACAGGCTGTTGGAAATGTTCTTTGTGACCCGCCGTCAAGTTTCTGATCCGTATAGAAGAACTGACTGACTTGACGTTTGTATTGAAAATCCGAATTTTGTTGTTGATGCAGGCTGAGTGACAGCGGAAGATTTCCAGATTGGTTTCAGGTTGATGAATGTGTTTCTCGCCTTCCCGATTCTCGATTTGACATCCTTGTCTGTTCCTCCTGTAGTTGAGACAATGCTCCCTAGATAAGTGAATGAAGTAACCTCTTTCAAATCCCTCCCGTTGATGGTGATTGGCACTGGATGTTGCTGCTGTGTAGTTGTTGTTGTTGGTTGGTTATTTTCATAACCTCCGTCTTGTCTATGCTCACGTGGAGTCCTGTCTTTGCTGCTTCTTCGACCAGTTTGTCGGTTTTCGCTTGTAAGTCTTCGATTTTGTGTGACATCAAACATAAATCATCCACGCGCGAAATCCAGGTCTTCTAGGTTCTTCATGTCGGTCCAGGATATCCCTGTCTTCTCGTTTCCCACTGTCTGACGCATAATCCAGTCCACGACAATTAGGAATATCATTGGTGATAATAAGCACCCTTGTCTGACTCCTGTGTTTACTCCAAACGCCTCGCTGAGTTTTCCGTTATGGATGGATCACTTGACATGTGCCGTTGTCGTACAGCTGTTGAATAAGGTTGATGAATATTTGGGGTACGCCGTAGTACTTGAGTAGTTTCCAAATTACTTCGTGGTCAACGCTGTCGAAGGTCTTCTCAAAGTCTATGAAGTTAAGGTAGAGATTTGATTGCCATTCCATGCTTTGTTCGATGATAATGCGTAGAGTTGCAATTTGGTGAGAACATGATTTGCCTTTCCTGAATCCAGCTTGTTCTGGTCGGAGTTCTGTATCCAGTGCGTCCTTGGCAAAGTTAAACTTTCGACTCCAGTAACAACCAATCAGCAAACGACCTTGAACGGACCAATCACATGAAAGAGACGTTTATGATAAGCGTAAACGTATATTTATAGAAAAATGCATAAAAAAATGATTAAAAACGGTTACAATGGGTATCTTTCCCGAACATGGGAGAGAAACATTTCCCAATTCAGCATGGCACTGTCAATAGAGAAGTCCATTTATAGCCCTTATTCTATTTTTTAATAGACCCCAAAATCCTTGAATGGAATTTGTATGAGTCCCCGTAACTGGGTCCACGAAATCACTGGAGTGGTTCACTCTGTGATGAATGGGATGACATTGAATCATAGCCTTTCCACTCGTCGGTATGTACAATTGATCCCGGTTTCACGAGTCGCTTTATAATAGGTACCAGAGTAGTCGCCTTCCTGTCTGCTATTCCTTCAACAAATCCTTTTCGGAGGGACGTGTCGTATAAACCTATGACCCAAATGTTGTTCGTTCTCTGACGACAGCGGTTATATTTCTTCTTCACCAACACTGTCTCATCCACATGGACTACTAAGTCGTCCCCGCCTAACAACGAAGTAATTCTGTCCATTTTCCATGAGGCAATATCCCTGAAGTGCTGGTATACCAGTGAACTGTTGAGACGAGGCTGTTCTCCGTCTCGGCAGCAGCGGCTCTCAGTACCCATTAATTGAAAATGTACAAAACCTGGGTTTTTACCCTCTAATACTAACTCGCTTCCAGCATATTCCTCAACGATGTACAAAATCATCAGTTGACCTAGTATAGCTTTTTAGAGTCATTACACCACCATACGAACAAATTCTCTCCTTTAGAAGCAAGCCTAAGTCCGGGCAATACTGAAAGACACTATCCTCCTGGAATTGCAAACGTAACCTTGTAAGGGCACGCATTGAAATGAATCAAGCGCTATACAACATTGAAGTACGTTCGTAAATCTCATTGGATGATTCGACGTCGTTCGCTGATTGGTAGTTACTGGTGTCTAAAGTTTAACTTGTCCGCGTCCTTTATTCTCTTCAGGAGTGATGACAACCGATGGTGTCCGTCAGGGATACCCACTGTCTCCATTTCCGTTTAATTTCATCATAGATGTACTAACAGACTTAACCCTTACTTACTTCAGCGATTTAGGGATTGACTTGTTTTCAATATGCGGATGATATAATCCCCCGTCCTGGATGAAGACGCTGACAAAATACAGTAGAGTCTTCTGAACAGCTTGAGGAGCAGCAGTCTTAGAATGTTTGGCATGCGATTCGTTCCTGTTGTAAAATGTAAGATGATGAGGCCACACTACTGGACTATATCAGTTCATGCTTAGCTTAAAGATAGGCAGCAGTGAAGTGGCTGTTGGAGCGTATTGACTAATTCATTTATTTGGGAAGCTGCATCAGCAATATCAGTGGGTCAATAGCTGACAAAATCTCAGCACGGATATAGAAGGTGCGCTTGACATTCGGCAAATCACGCCATCTCTAGCTTAGTAGACATGACATCTGGAAGGCTGTAGATCAGAAGACCTGTGTACTACACATTAGAAATTCGCTCCTTCCGCCTTCATGACTGGCTGTGAGAAATGGCCATTGAAAGTGGCAGACATAAAAAGACTGACTACCTGTCTTTTACCATAGGTACCTCCCTTCTATCTCCAGTGTTAAGTGGTTGGTTTAATTGAGTGAGCAATATGGAGGTTAGGCTTTGGTAGAATGCTAGGTAGGTGAAAGGGAAAATCGATCAAGGGGGTTGTGGAGCAGATGGTTAGGACATGTGTTACGCATGCATACCCAGCCATCGTCTTCCTCGACGACGGGCAATGTTAGCTGACTGATATAGGATTGTTCAGGTTGGAAAAGAGTTAGTGAGTGGTGGTCAAACGAAAAGACAGCTTTATCAGTCAATAAAATCCATAACTAGACGGCTGTTTTGATCTAAGAACACATACGTGAGTAAACAGATCTCTTCCAAAGATTGATTTCGTAAATTCAATTAAAAACTGTATTGAGGTGGGTTTACTGTCAACAGAGGTCAAGGTTATAGTCAGTCAATAACAAAACAAATCAAAGTATATGAATAATGAGAGTTATTTGGTGGATGGTGACTAGCAGTGGAATCCAGTGTGCGGATTTCGTCCTATCTGTGGCTCATCAGCTAAACATACCTGCATTCTCCAGCAATTTGGTCCAATCAATCGACGTAAAAATCTAAACTAAAATATATAATAAGTGTTTCTAAAGAATTGCTGGTCATCTTATGTAATCAATAGTGTTGACGGCTAGTTTGTTTAGTGATGAGTAATTATTTGGAATATACTATATCCTATAGCATACCATATCATTTGCATATACCAGTTCACCTGCTCGTGTGGAGCTAGGTACACAGGTCGTTGTATGCGCGTCCTTTCGAAACGTGTTAGAGAACATTACACAGCGTGACTGCAAAGAGGATGTACCGGTTCAGTCAGAAGTGTCATTATTGAACATCTGATCAACACCTCCCACAACATCTCAACTGATTCATTGAAAGTAATTTACAAAATCAACAGAAACCTATCAGAAACAGTATGTTTCCGAATTCTCTCTACTGCAGAAGCCCTCGCAATATGCATCGAGAATCCAGAGCTGTGTGTTCAAAAGAAATTAGTCCAACCTCTACAACTACCATGGACCTAGTTTGGTATGTTTCCTTAGCTTCCATGTTTTTTTTCGTTCTTTTTTGATCATTTTTTCGTTCGCTGTGTATGTAATTCTTACTTTCTCTCTCTGTCTTCATTCAATTCATCCTATTTTTTCAGTTATAAGAGCAGTTATTTTAAGTTTTTTTCCGTGCTTTACCCGCTCACATTGATAATTCGTTTAAAATGACTATTTTACAATTATATCTTAATTCTCTTTAACTTTTGTTTTCTAAGGCTCTTGTAATCTATTTTCACACCTCATAACTTCCATTTAAAGTTAAAATTATTATTTCAATTTTGGTTCCATGCTCATTTTTACACACTTGTAATTCGTTCTAATTTTGTTTCTAAGCCTCTCGTAAACCATATCTAGTTGAAAATAATTGTCACCTTTTATTCGTCTTCGTAGTTATGTGCAATGAAATAAGAATTGTATCTATGTAAAATTATGTATTTAAATGCGATTGTACAGCTTTTGAAAATGAAATCGCCGAAAAGATCACCATCTTTGCTGAACTTCGTATTCTCTTCTTTCCATTTGGAAATAATTCATAGGAAACAACGGAACAAAGGAT